ACTTGGTTTTGCAAAGACGAAAAAAAGCAAATCTTATCATTTAGATTTGGAGCGCCCTGCAAGCAAAATTATGACAATAGGTAACAAATGTTTTCGCTTCGTTCTCACCAATTTTCCAAACATCACTCGATGAAAACGAAACGGGGTTGAGGTGCCACATCGCAGCAATCGACTTCAAAAAACGCCAAGTATGTACGCATCGATTGGGTGGCGACTGGCGAAAATCACTTGCAATTTTCGCTAGTGAGCAAATTGGGCGCGATCGGCGATTAAAATCGTCAAGTGTATTGCAGTCTTTAAACTTGAGGTTTACGTAAATTATAATTGAAAAATCTTTGTCCTTTTGTTACGAAACGAGAGAACAATTGAAGTGCTCGTGATTTTATGTGCTTGAGGAAATTTTTGTTTTCTGAAAGCTGCTCTCTTATCAAATTTTCCTTTTTGTTGTCAGTTAGTGCTATTTAAGTAAGAAAATATGCAACTTACTAAACGTGACGAGAATAGATAGAAAAGTATCCAGAATTTTCTCCGGCAGACATTAGTATTCACGCAGAGAAACAGCTGTTTTGACGTTTACGAGGTTTTATTTTTTTCCGTTCTTTATGACCATTTTGTGGTTGCAAGAAATTTTACTCTCTTGAAGGTTGACAGTCTTTTTTTTTTTTTTTTTTTTTTTTTAATGACAGTTTGCTAAGGTAGGGAAATTTAGCTTTTTCCACAACGGAACGTAACTTGCAGCTTGTAAAAGAGCCAGGTTAGATTTAAATGACCGATCAAATTTTGCGTTGTCGATTTCTGGAATCAACCAGGAAAACCATTCAAAGATTTCAGACTAAAAGGAAGTTGTCCATTTCCCTTGGGACGTGAATGAGAAACAAAGTATTTGCACTTAAATGTAGACAGCTAGTGATGGATGGTTTCAAGGATGAGGACAGATAAAACGAGCGGCAAGGTGTACGGAAGAGGATGGGCCGAAAACGCTGAAAAGATTCATTTTACGGGCAATTTCAAGATCGAACGGAAAACATTTTCCCTGATTTGTTTTTCGCATGTTTCGCGGCATAGTGTGTTTCGTCTCTGGCCAGTTTTCTTATTATAATTATTTTTGCACCTCTCCATATGTATTGTTGTTAGTGTTGCTTGGCACTTCTTCATTAACGTATGTTTGCAAATTCGTCTTCATTGGCGCAAATTGCATTGCATGTAAAGTCACATTTTGCGCTCTACGTTTGAAGTGATTTTTGTATTTTTTTTTCCCGAGCTGTACGTTGTACCTTTGCAAGTCCTATAAGATCAAGACGTTTAATCTTCGATTAATGTTTCTTTACTCCGTATTTTTTCTATTAAAACTAGCTACTTAAGTTCTTTAACTGGTGAAGTTTCGACGCACATCCAACGTTAAACACCGCTCATCCTAAATCGAAAATAACTTTTTTAAGGTATTAAATTTCTTGAATTTTGTGGATATCGCTAGCCGGTTTTGACTTCCGGTCACATTTATATCGAATAGTACTTTAAACGAATATACGGATAGAGTCGTGTACTGATTCGGCTTAAAGAATCTGTTTAAATAAATACATAAAGTTTACATTAATGTTTTAATTCATTTGTCAAATGAGTCTATTGGAAAAAATATTTTGCATATCTAGCACTAAAAATAAGGACGAACAGATTTTGAATATAACCTGGCTCTTTTCGTGTGCCGACCGGCCTCGACAGATGAAACAGGATAAAAAGCTGGCAACAGCAAAAATTATCATCTTCATTTCTAAATATACAATGCCAAGTGAAAATGAACTCGAAATAAAAAAAAAAACATTTGTGCAGCAAGGAACGTGTATTTAGTAAAATGATGTTTTGTTTTCAATTCATTTCGGGTGAATATTTCCACCGTAATTGTCACTGACAAAAAATAAAATTGGTCAGGCGATGGGAAATGAAGCACTCTGAGAGGATGTTCGCATGCAGTTAAATTAATCCAACTTGCATGCACGCCTGACGGCGAATCGACGATATTTGTCAGTAATAATGTTAAGAAAATTGTTGGAAGCCTGTTTGAAGATGTTAAACACTCCTCGAGAAAATTGTCAGTTGTTGAAGGCGCACGCAAAACGTGCTGAAATCGGGAATTACGGATTTCGCTATGTCTTCGACCATTTCGGTAAAATCTAGAATAATTTTTTATGACACTAGTGTGTGATGTTTACTGTGCGCCGTCTATGTTTGTGTTCCTTAAACGTACGTAATATCCTTGACATCAAATCGGTCACGCATTGTTTACATTTAAGACGAAGACAAAAGCTTTTCACCACGTGCGGGTTTCACCCCTGAAGTGAAATGATAAACAATTATTCTTTCTAAGTGAAAACTATCGCTAAGATTTTTACCGTTTCCACATTTTCCACACAGTTTTCATGTTTCGGTACTTTTGTCATTTATTAGAGTGGGAAGTAGAAAAAGTCTAATAAATTTCGCGACAAAGAAGTCTCCACAGAGAGGCCTTTTCGGTTCTTACAAACAGAATTTTGATTAGCTAAGCTAATGTCATCTAAATAATTCATTTCTAGCACAATAACCTTCGAAACCTGGTGCACGCACAAGATTAGTTCGGGGTGAAATCAGATCTTCACTCGAATTTGTCCTAGGACGTCATCACTTCCATAATTTTCCTCAAATCTAAGATTATCTTCGCTTTACCAAGCCGATATGTTCACTACAGGTTAAGTCGCTCGGCTGAATCGAATGGTAAACATTGCTGTATTAGTAGCGCTGAATTTGATACCAATCCGGCGGGAAATATATTAACAGAATTGTCCCCGGAAATTTGAGGCCAAAGAAGATTTGAATTGAGCCAGAAAAGAAAGATAAGCTTTCAGGAAAGTGACACAAACAGAGACAATTAATTGAAGCTATTTTCAAGCCAATCACGAACGATTCAATTGGACTCATTTAAAACTCAAGCCGTTTGTTTACAGAAACAGAAGAGCTCGAGTTGCGGTGTAGACCAGATATGTCGACTTCGATAGCAGACAGGCCAACCGCCATGTTAAGCTGGGAGAAGGAAGCGGTGCAGGACCTGGATTGTGTTTATCAATCTAAATCAACTCCTGATCGCGGTGACGTGGATGCAGTATGGCAAAGCATGTACGAGAAAGGCCTGAAGAGAAAAGTAAGTCAGTTCTCTCTTCCTCCCCAAGGTATTGAAATCAACGGAAATTCATCCGATTTAAACTGTATCCAAAAAGACACTGAGCCACGAAGAGATCTAGCCACGATCCATCTGGAAAGAGCGCGTAATTTGGGTAAACTGGGAATGGACGAAGGAAGAAGATATCGGAAACGTGCCTACTCCGCGAACAGCTGCCCTGGTGATCAACAGCACTGCCATGCTACTCGCCATCACGATTTCAGTATATAAGGTGGCGTACACATTTATTTGTGATCAGCATGCTTAGGAAAACTAGCTTAGAAACACGGTACAGTGATGTGCAAAGATATTACGGAGGATGATAATTATTACAACAGTTTTTAAGTCGTTTTAAAGACTGCGATCCTGTGGGCGAAAAAAAATATTTCGAACAAATATTTCTAAGTTGGGTCATTATATGCTTATTCTTCGTTAAAATGTTGGTAATTCAGATGTAAACGACTTGTTTTCGAGTTATGATTTTTTAGAGAAGTCAATTGTTGTTGCTTTTTAAAAGTGGAAACAAGAGAGTCACGTACGACCAAAATGTTTCGATTTGATTGGTTAATCGCAAAGCAGACAAACATCAGGGTGATATTTAATTCTTTCCTTCTTCGGAAATTTAATTAAAGGAAGACAGTGCATAACATACTTTTTTTAGTGAATATGAAAAATGATAATAACAAGCATCTTCGTTTGTCAGCAGTTTTCATCGATGTATTCGTCAAATTCAGGTAGTTGTAATTGTTTTTGTGTATTCAGAGGCCTCATTATTTTCCGACTACAATAACCCACCGTTCGTAAATTACTGTATGAAACAACAACAAAAAAAGCACGTAAATATATCATCCATTTTGTGTACCCGTTTCATTCTCGACCATTAAAATTGTTGCTGGACTATTTACTTGTGATGATAAGAAAATAAATTTGAATGTATCAATCCGTTGAAGTCGTCGGTCTTGTTGTTTTCTGTTAGCTTGACTGTCTGAAATAATTTCTGCTTTCGTTTCGCCTAATTTGCCTTAATTTCAATTAAGAAAATTTTATTTGTTAGAAACTGTTTTCATCTAAATTGAAATTGCGGAGAGAACAACATTTCTTTCGTGCCTGTGCAAACATCGATCTGCTCAAATTGCTTTAAAAAATTAACAAAAGAGAACCTGCGAAACAACAGTCTTCGCGGCTTTTGCGCATAATGAGGCGAAATTGATGCAAGAATGTTTCTAGTATTGAACAATATGGATCATGCTACATCCTCGATGTACAGCCAGCTCACAACAATCATTTGAAAATTTGGAATTGACATGTGAATCTCTTGGGGATTCATCTGTGCGTAATTTGAAATTTGTTATTATTCTTGTCTAATTAAGTGCCAAGGTTTAACCCTTGTTTCAGTCAAAAGTTCATCTCTAATATACTCTTTTGTGGTTGAGCTGAGAGGGATGAAAAAAGGCAGTCTTTTCTTCTCAAATTACTTTGTAACTCTTCCTTCACCAACAAAATGTAAACCTGACAGCGTGGAATTGAAGAAAACTCTAGGTGATTCAACTGGACAGAAGGTAACCTAAGAAGAGTTGTTTTTCGTCACTGAAAACCTTACTGAAGCCCTCATTTCTCGACTGGAACGTTTCGTCTGACACCTGAATTTTCAGTCAGGACAAGATGCATCACGATGTGTAAAAGGGACGTATTATGATGGGAAAAAAGGGTAAGTGGTCACAGATCTCTCGAATGCTCCTCGGGAAATTTGCCAGGCGACCAAGAGCCGGCTTCCCCCCCCCCCCCCCCCCCCCCCCCCCCCCCCGCCGCAATATCATATGACGTTCAATGATTCGTTTTATTCATTCTATAACAATTTTGGTAAATACCTGTTTGACTAAGAAAAATCAACTTATCTAATTATTGCTTCAAAGGCGGACACCATTGAAAGAACATCATTGTGACAACTACTTATTACAACTGTAGACGCCTCAGCCCAGCCACGGCAGACTGGAACCCAGCGTTGTAATCGGTAGCCACCTCGGAGTACTTTACCTCTGTTCTATCGTCTTTGAAGTTGTCATAGCGATCAGGCCCACCAACTAAGGCACCATGCAGCACATGCGCGTTAGGACCAGAGTTGTGATAGTTTCCCCAGTCACATCGGGCAGGGGCTGAAGGACAGCTGCTGGAGCGGTGGTGAGGTCTTTGGGGAGGATTCTTCCCAAATCCAACCACATAACTGCGTCCACTGTCGCCAAGCATGTAGTGGATCTGCTTTCTTGCAAATTGACGATACGTGGTCGGGTTGAGACCCTGGTCAGCGGCTAGCAGTGCTAGGAAGGCTGTGTTGGCGGCGAATCGGTTTGCTCCCCAGGCATCACGGAAAACAAGGCCTTTTGGAGTGCGTTTGAGGGAACCACCTGTTGTATTGTTCAGAAACAAATTCTTATAAACGCTTCTTGTGGATTTAAAGAAGAAGCGAACAGCGTTAAATTAAAAGATTTCAGAGATTAGATCATTCATATATCATTTAAGGTTTTGCGACCGAACGGTGGACTTTTAACGCATAGATTATTTGGTAGGCTTGACCCATACTGAAGAAAACGACATACAAGCCCCCAGTGTGTTGGCTGTAATAACTAGACACTTCTTCAAAAGGGGCCCGAGATAACTCAAAAAATGGTTGGAAAAATAAAAACAACAACAAAAACAACAAATCAAAATAAAAACTATAAATGAAAAAAGCTAATATCATGGAGAAATTTTTCGTATATTTAAAACATTTTTGGAGGAACTTAAGCCCTTAACTCCCAAGATCTCATTAGTTATTCTCCTTACTTTCTGCCATACAATTCTCATGATATCAGTTCGGAGAATATGGTATTGGATGAATTAATAATCCCCTTATTGATATTTTTTCTTTATTCTCATCACTTCTATGCTTGATATTGTGTTGATATTGTGAGGAGAAATTATCGCTTCCTTCTTGGGAGGTAAAGGATTACGTTATATGAGACTTGCAAAGTTTATCTTCAAATTTGGTGAGCAGAGCTACTTCTAAGCTTATATTGTTAAGAGTCTGTAAGTTATAGGATACTATGTGAGATCGAAAATTAGTTTTACCAGGCAACCAGTTTGCAAGGTACTTCTGAATGGCCAGCTTATACTGCGGCTTCTTCGTGAGTCCATACAGAAGCATCTGTACTGCAGCAGTCTTGTCATCCCAGGAAAAGGCCCAAGATGAACTGAGGTAATACTTTTTATAAAGGGACTCCGCCAAGGTAAGATACTTCCTATCGCGTGTAGCTCTGAAAGTGAGAATAACTTGTAAAAAATAAGTTAAAAAACTTAATCGCTTAGCATCAATAAAGCTCTCTTCATCTCAATATTTCAAGAGTCAAAGGTCTCTAATTTCCTGACCATAGGATGAACTTAATTTGATTTTCTTGTTTATACTGTGTTCTCCATTGACTTCAATGTGGATTACCTGTAAAGCCAAGCAGCTCCCCACACTAGTTCGTCTTTATAACCACCAGACTTGTAGAATTTTGCAGCCCTGGGTATAGAATCACTGTACTTCCCGAGGTAGGTTCTTGCAAATTCGTAAATCCCCTTAGCGTGCGCCAATAACTGGTTAGAATAAGATGGATTAGACTTCCGGAAAGCTATAGCGCCCGCGGCTAAGGCAGCGGCTGTTTCGGCAGCAACGTCAGATCCAGGCCTCTGAGCTGTGATCTTCAGAGCAGGTCTGGCCATATGCATGTCTTCTGGTCTGCCCCAATATTCATGGTCTTTAACACCATCCCCAACCTGTGAGGGGGAAGAAAGAGTAGAAGGGATCAAAAGTGTATAACGATTCTTCATAAGTTAATTGATAGCCACGAAATAACACGCTCGCAAACCAGAATGATAACAACAATAAAACAAAACAATCAAACGAAACAAAAGAAACAAAGCAAGATAACAGCCAAGCAATTTAAGAAGTAAAGAAATCGTACAAAAAAAAAAATAATCGTCGAACAGGTTATGGTTTCAGATCAAAGCCTAAACCAACCTCCACGAACAGTGGGCTTGCCAATGGATCGGCTCCTCATGCTGAGAGTTCGATCCAAGTTAAGGTAATTAGATGTATATGAATTTTGATTAAAAGGAAATTATGGACATCAATATACGGCATACCATGTAATACCATCAAACCATATAGTCTTTGCAACAAATGTCGTGTTCCCCAAATTTGGGTGAAATCCCTTTCAGAAGTTCAGCGCCATCTGGTCTAATTGTGATAAAGAATTGTTATATAGAGTTTTTAAGCTGCAGAAACGCGCTGCTAGAGTCACCCTTTACGCAGAGCGGATGGCTCCATCCGTAGAACTCTTTAATAGACTGAAATGGATTCCTTTTTACGAGAAGTGTAAGATTGACAAAGCGTCGATAATGTTTAAACGAATCCACGGTGCACTACCTAGCTATTTAAACGAGCATATTCCGATCAACAACTCAAGACATTCAAGAACTACGCGCTATTCAAACTTTAATGTACTGTGCCCCAGATATAACAGGGAAACTGAAGGTGGGCGCACTTTTCTCGTCACCGGAACCAAAATTTGGAACGAGATACCACTACGCATACGGATGGCGGACAGCATAAGGTGCTTTAAGCACAACATGTGGACTAATATTTTTTCGCAGCAACAATTTTTAAGTCATTTTCGTGTATAGTTTCCTTTTTAGTTTCTTTACTTATCTTGCAATGATATTATATTATATTAGTTTCTATTTTTATATTGTATTATACTAGTTTTTATATTGTAATTATTTCTGAGTGAGGGCCACAAGTTTATTAGCTATGCTATTATGTGTTACCCTCGTAAAATAAAGTCTTTATTATTATTATTATTAAGTTCACGCGTAGATGATGCAATCCATTCTACTCTTCTTAAAAAATTAAAATGTCTCGTTCTCACCTGTACGTAAAGCTCAAACTTAGAGGTGTGCGCTTTCATGAAATAGTCCAATGGCCATTTAATACAGTCCAACATGCTTTTCAGTTCCCCAGCTGCAATATAAGCTTCTTTATACTTCAACAGACCCCAGGTTAGCACTGTTACACTTGAAGCCATAGGGAAACCAAACTTGACGAAATCTCCTGCGTCAAACCAACCACCACTAAGATCCACTCCAACATCTGCACCGTCCCGAAGAGTCGCGCTTTTTCTCCAAGGGATTCGGTTTGTGGCGGGAAGACGTCCAGCCCGCTGTGCTTCATAAAACAGAATGGACTTGCGGAGGACCTCGTTGTAATTGAACGGACCTGGGGCTGGAGGTGCAGTCGGTTTGGCTATCACACCACCCCCACCGCCTGTGTGTCCCCCTCCGCCACCACCAGTGTTACCTCCTCCAGCTCCTCCCCCAGCGCCAGCACCAAGCCTCTGGAATAAGGCCACACCGCCAGGAGCTGGTGAGTTCGCAACAGGCTTAGTTAAAACGATTTCAGTAGATAGCTCATAGCCAGCATTCAGTTGTTTTTGCCACGGTTTGTTGGTAATCACGTAGCGCTTGCGGTCTGGAGACACAGACTTTATATCACCAATCCATGTCTGCAGTTTCAGTGCTGGTTTACTGAAAGTCAAGGTGATGATCCAACCGTCAGTAACCTTGGACTGTAGTCTGAAGGTGAATTTGGCAGTGAAGCCTGTGTTCCACTCGTTGACAACAGTAATGCGGGACTGTTCTGCACAGGTGTGGCGTGCGAAGAGCAGAAAGAACAGCAGACACGCTGACAACGAGATTCGTCCCATAATGCTCATAATACAGCTCTGTGGATGAAAAGTGAGCTTACGGCATGAGAATCGCAGATATGCTGAAGTTGATGACATAAACAGCAGTTGCCTTTTTGTTCGTGAAGAGATTTGATGTATATTCACTGTATTTGAGGACCCTAGAAATAGTTCTCACTACATCTTCCTCCGCCTTTTGATGATATAAAGTTTTTAGTTATATTTTATTTAGTGATAATTCCGACAGATTTGAAGATTACAAAGTTACGACGAAATGTTAAAAATGCTGTGAAACGAAAGAAATTAAAGCTGTTTAGGTGGCGTTGTAATATTTTGGCAGCTAAGAGGATTTAAGGGATGTTGCTTAGCTCGGGTTTCTTGCCTCTGGGCCACGAACCAAGCTGGGGCAATTCAAAAGGGTGCATCTTTTATTCGGCTTATTAAGAGGGTTTACACACAGGGTTACAAACTTCTTTAACATCTGCACCTGATTCAAGACAGCTGCATAAGCCATTATTTGCATCACAAAAGTTATGGAAAACTTCCACTCAAAGGAGGCACAGAAGTCTTGGCTGGGAAGAGGGTGGTATGAAATAAGCGGGAAGGTTCAAGAAGCACCCGGCGATACATTTGAATTGGGAGTTATCTTCCTAAACCTGGAGTTTTTTTTTCGAACAAAAGTAAATAACCGGCTGGACATCCTTTATCTAAAAACTAGCTTTTATTGGTCGTTAATGGCGACCGAACTCGCATACAAAAAAAATCCTAGAAAAATGTTCTTTTTCTTAAGATTTACTATTTATACTGTCACTTTCTCTTAGTTGATCTATCCAACATTGATAATACGCTGAAATAGAACTGTTCGTCACAATACTCAACTCAAGCCTCGGTTAATAAAAAAGTGTGCAACATTTTCTCATGTAAATTACTGAATTAACTCACAACGGGTGAAGAGGGACTCTACTCACTCTCAACATGTAGCTTCTCTGGCGCAGATAATTAATACCTAAGGGCTTTGTGCCTAATTTATATCCGAGAAGCAGGCGTCTGAACCCAGCGGAAGCCTGAATTTTTCTGGCTTCTGTAATTGAAAGCTCGCATAAGAGGATCATTTCATTATTTGTCAACCTTTTAACTCCCAAAAAGTATGACAATAAAAAAAGAGTTGGCTCGCAGTTATTCTTAGGTGCAAGCCTTAACAGCAGCCTTTCTTGGTCTGATAGGCAAAATATAGAAACACTGGCTCGTCTGAAGAAATTTTGTTGGAGATTTCCTCATACGTTGATGCTTCGATTTGAATTCATAGTCTAAATGGATCACTTCTTTATCGCGTTGCATCCCCCCGACAGTCGAATTTGTGTTACGTCGCAATTCCTTAATCCCCAATTTTTTTCGGGGAAGAAATAATAATTTTTTTTCCAATATTCTTATCAGCCCGTCGAATCTAAAGTTGCTTCGTTTTCTTAATAGTTCAGAGCAGAGCAGATCAGAAAAGCTCTTTTCTTTAGTTTGAAAATAAAAGATTATTTGCTACTTTGAGTTTGCGTCCTACCTTAGAAAGTCATTAACCTCAGGAGACTGTGCCACCAGTAGCCCTTTCGAAAATTAAAACAAATGTTATTGCACTCTTAGTTTCATAAGTTTGCCGTATCCACCGCCGACAGCTGATCTAACGTATTACTTCGTGAGACGCTTGATATATCGCTTCCGGCGTACTTTTCTTTCTAGAACTTTATCGTAGACGTGGAGTTTCATTGTATCGTAGACGAGATAAGTAAATATTCAGGCAACTTTTAATATTGTAAAAATCTCTTTTTAATTGCGTTTTCATAATGAAAGGATGGTGTTAATTGCTAGTGTCATTTACGAGTGAACTTCATAATCATTTAGGATATTTTATTGAAGTATTTCAGGCACAACTACAAACAGCATGAAAAAAAAAGACTTCTTAAGTCTTAAGCTCTTTGAAAAAACTTCATATTTCCGTTGGACTATTACAGCTCCAGCTGTTTTAGACCCGCGACAGAAGACTGGAAACCAGCGTTGTAGTCAGTAGTGACTTCATTCATGACGTAGTCTTTTCTGTCGTCCTTGTAGTTGTCATTCTCGTCGGGACCCCCAACTAATGCACCTTTTAGAACATGCGCATTGGGTATATCCGCGTTGAAGTTATCCCAACCGCATGGCTGTGGAGCGGACGGGCAGGAGCTGGAGCTGTGATGTGGTCTTCGTGGTGGATTTTTTCCGAACCCAACCACGAAGCTGCGTCCACTGTCTCCAAGCACGTAATTAATTTGTTTCTTTGCGAAATTGCGATAAGCTGTTCGCTTTAGACCCTGATCAGCGGCAACCAGCGCCAGGAAAGCTGTATTGGCTGCATATCGGTTGGAGCCCCATTTGATACGCCATGCAAGACCCTTGGGAGTGTAACGGACACTACCTCCGGGAAGCCAGTTGTCGAGAGATGCTTTAATGGCGTTTTTGTAGGATTCTTTTCTCGTCAACTGAGCGAGCAGCAACTGTACCCCGGCTTTTTTATCGTCCCAAGAAAATGCCCAGGCCTGTAAGGGAGAAAAAGAGGGATTAAATTTCAATTTTAATGTGAAAGAGCCTTTAAAGTGTGGTAGATAAAAAAGCCTACACCTGCAATAATAGAAGGAAAAAATTTTTAAAAAACCGGCAAACTTCGCATTTAGCAAGCCACTTTTAGATTTTTTCATCTCTAAGCACCGCACTTATCTGTGAGTGTTATACTTTTTTGATAAAGATACCAAAGCCTTGAAGCGCATTGTGTGAACAAAAAGTCTCAAAACATTTTCCTTTGTGTTATCGACAATCGCACGTAAAGGGAAAAAGTAAGATCGTCCAATCTTAGTCAGGATGTGAAGGTATGACGCGAGAAGAAAAGATAGAACTGAATTATGATTTACAACGATTTGTATTCTTGTGTTTCACAAAAATTCCCTTCAGCATAATTGTATCTCAGAAGACCTATAACTCTCAACATACCTGACCATCCATCCCATAATCCTTATAGTACTTCTCAGCCTTCACAAGATATGAAGACTCCTTTGTCGCTCTGTACAACCAAGCTGCACCCCACACTAACTCGTCCTGAAACCCGCTGTAGGATTTGTAGAATTTCCCTGCGTTGGGAATGGAATCACTGTATACTCCACGATATTTGTCTGCAAACGCGTACAGTTGCTTTGAGTGCGTTAAAAGTTTCCTAGCATACTTCTTAGAGGCACTGAAAATCAAATTGTCTCAAAAGTTAGTAGTCAACCAGCATAAAGATGTTCGTGATTATCGAAGGCAGCTTCTGGTTCGTTTTCTGGGGACCCAAGTACCAAGTTTATTTTAGAGCAGTTAAGTAAAAGTTGTGAAACATAAAGCAATATTACCGGAGAGACCATTTATGTTGAGTACGACTGATATGAGGGTCCAACACAGGTTTGGCGGGATGCGGGATGAGGCTTAAAATCGAAGTGGGATGTGGGTTACGAAAAATTCCAAAGGCGAGATGCAGGATGAAAATAGGAAGGCAAGACCGGGATATGCTCAGTTTCGAAAGCGGGAGAGGGAATTAAAAGGACGGATACTGTCGGTATAATAATTTAGCTGAAGTTACGATATACCAAGAGTTGTAGGCATTTTTCCTTGTCTATAACTTACCGAGTATTTTGAGCTTTAAAGGCAATCGATGCAGCGGCCAGTGCTGCTGCAGTTTCAGCTGCGAGATCGGATCCAGGATTTTGTGGAGTGATCTTCCAGGCGGGTCGCCTCATGGTCATGTCTTCAGGTCTGCCCCAAAAAGCGTGGTCAAGATCTCCATCTCCAACCTAATTTGTTCATAAAGATTTCACGTTCAAAAGACAACTTTCAGCATTTTCTCTGATGAGTCAAAAAACTATATTATTCTCACATATATCTGTCGATGATTAGTTTCTTGCCAGCAACCCAGCGCTAAAAATATGGCAACCAGAGAGATGCTGTGAGGTGGCGGTAAGATATCAGTTTCTTAAATCTACATTAGACGAAGATCAGGCAAACATTAATACAAATGAATAAACAGGGTAGGTTTCTAAGAATTTGTAGTGCTACGTGATCGACCACCGTAAAGAGTTTCTAGAGCTGACATTTCGAGCTTTACCCCTTCGCCAAAGCGATTCAGTTATTACACTTAACTTTTGAGTAAGTTATCTAGAAGGTAAATGCAAAAACAAGTATAGCTGTTAACCGTATTACCTGACCATAGAATTCTTCTTTTTTCGTGTGAGCTTTTATGAAATAGTCCGTGGCCCACTTGATGCTATTTAACACGTTGCTGTACTGGCCAGCAGCTACATAAGCCTCCTTGTATTCCACAATACCCCAGGCTAACACTGTGACAGATGATGCCATCGGAAAACCAAACTTAACGTAATCACCCGCGTCATACCATCCACCGGTTAAGTCTTCACCGTTCGGCCCTTTGTCACCTAGTGCCGAGTCCTTTCTCCACTTGACTCGGTTGTTAGGTGGAAGCTTGCCAGATCGCTGAGCTTCGTAGAACAAGATGGAAAGTTTCAGCACTTCACTGTAGTCATACTTTCCGGGGCCCCGAGACGGCGATTGTGTTAGCGAAGGAGGTGCAGTGGTTTGCGGCGGCTGCGTAGGTCGAGTGGTGTCAGGGCCAGGAGATGAACTGGGCGGTTTCGTCACTGGCGGAGGAGGACTCGGGCTAGCAGTGGGCGGTTGGTTGGTTATTGGTGCACCGCGACTAAACATGACGGCGCCAATAGGAGGATCCTTTGTTACGTCAGACTTTTTGGCGATGAAATACAACTTGAAGGTTCCTTTAGACATTTGTGTATTCCATGGCATATTCTTCATTGTATATACTTTATCGCCTTGGTTGTCAACTATCTCTGCTCGCCAAATTTCCAAATTCGGAGTAGGAACTGGAAAAGACAAAGTCAAGGTCCACCCAGAGGTAACATCATCCGTGAGGTCCAGAGTAATTAATCCCTTGAATCCGTCGTACCATTTGTCAACAACCACGGTTTTAGCTTTTTCAGCGAATGCTTTAGGAGCGTGAAGCAGCACAAGAATCGACAGCGGAATAACCGAGCGTAACAACGACATGGTGTGAATATCTATCAACAAATGAACGAAATTTGAACGAAAAATGCCAACTTGACTTATAGTCAGAGAAGTGAACGCTGCCCAAGTTATTAAATATGTCACATCACGAAAGACACTTCAACGATTAAGTATTGCATTAACCGCATTGATATGCGCCTAAATTAGCTCCAGTTTTTCTTTTCCCTTGTTTGGAAAGTAAGAGTCGGTTTTTTCCTTTTTTGACTTGATTGCTAAGCGATATACCAGAAAAGCGACGGAACTGATGCGGTTTGCTTCAGACATTCACAATATTTTAAGTGGGAAACACTCATTTTAGTTAGAAGCGCAGCGGAAATGTCGTAGATTGAGCGTGCAGTTGACTTTAGATGTATTAGTCCACTTTCAGACTCTATTCACTTTACATGGAGTATTATTCATTGCTTCAGGAAGACTTGATTTCTTTCTGCGCAATGTTGTTGTATAAACTGAAGTTTACACTAAGGTTTGTGAATATAGAATCAATCATTTTCAGATCGTTTAACAAAGCTCATTGTTATCAAAGTTAGCCACTTAATAATGCCGTTAGAATATATAGTTATTAGAATTGACCGGGTGCGATATTGTTATAAGAAACTTTTTGGATTAAAATGAACCGCGTGTTACAATGCTCAACTTATGCTTAATTTCAGTCTTAACAGGAACTAGATATATAAAAAGTCTTGATTGCGGATAGGTTATAAAAACACTCTATATATATTATAGAGCTATATATATTCTGCCATAGAATTAAATAAAAAGTCGGAACGAGAGGTGAATTATGGAGTTACTGTAGGCAATGATTTCCGTGTCACTCCATGTGCGAGTTAGCCATTCAACAATTTGTGACATGAATTGTTTAAAAGGCAGGCGAAGTAAAATACAATGTGAAGGTAAACCAAAATTTTCAAACTTCCATTGGTGATAAAAAATCTTAAAATTGTAATTGAATCATAAGAATGTAGAGCATTGATTACATTATCAGATCTAGACCAGTTTCAAAATCAAGTACTCCTCTCCTGCGTCTCACTGAATTTATATCATTTTATCGGCTTGAAAGAACTTAATGTTTTTCTCTCTTTTTTTTCGCAACATTCATATGAAAGCGCAACATTTTCTTTTTATATTACTATTCATACCAAACAGAGGCACTCACCTTCTCACAATTAGTTGTTGAACGGACCCTGAATTGGTTGGTGGCACGTATTCCACCGGGTTATATGTACCCTCAGCATTTAATTCCAATACCTCATTGTCACAACTCCCCGACGATAGCGCAGCTCAACAAATAAGTTATTGGAATTCGTCAAAAGATGTTTAGACATCTGCCACTACAATCGTAATAGGCATTCTATTCACAAATTGGCTTCAATACTTCGTTTGTGTTGTTAATGACAGAGTTTTCATATTGTGTAGTGTTCAATGTCTTCTTCGGCAGTTTGACAAACACAGCACGTCCACTCCCAGAGCTTTTATACATCTACGCAACTGACATACAACACGCTTATGTAAACCTTTGGCAAAATGAAATCATGGGATGGCTATGGGAAGCGAGAAAGAGCTTGAAGAAATTTTTAGCGACGGTACTATGTCTACTTGTTCAGTATGCTCCAAAGAGTATTTGAATAAAGTCTCTAATCTGCTCATTTATTTGGCCATACTCCCTTCCATCCATCAATCCATCCACCCGATTGACGTTTACTAACTTATTACTGCCTTTTTTTTTTTAAAGTCACATTGGTTTACCTCCTTTAGCGTTCATAATCGGCTTGCTGTATTGTTTTTTATGATTATCTTTTAATACATAAAAAAGCAAGTGTGGTTGAAATCAATATCTTTAACCGCCATATTTGTGTCGTAAATCTTCCATATCGACAAGCAATTTGCATGAACATCTTGTTTGCTATGTTGAAACCAGACTAATTCGTTGTCTTAGTGGAACGCATGTGGTCGTATGTGGATCCAGTTTTTACACAGGAACCGATGGGAAAGACTCATAGATCACGGAATGATTTTAGAATTGAAATCAGCTCTAATTCTGGTTGGTAAAAAGCATTAAGTCCTTAAAATATGCAGTAATCGCGTGCTCGTTACCATCCTTCAGTTTTGTCTCCGCTAGCCGTTCTGCATGTTGTCGCTTAGTGCCGAGTCCTTTCTAACATGACTCGGTTGTTACGTGGACGCATGCCAGATCGCCGCACCTCGTAGGACAGGAGTAACAGACTCAGCAAGAGCTTTTTTTTAAATTAATCCTTCCCACTCGAATACCTGCTTTTACGATGAGACTGTTCTTTTCGATAAATTTTCAATTTCACATCATTGATATTGCTTTCTGGCATCTTTGCTACGAGTGTGCATTAACAGAAATAAAGAGTCAAACGTTTTAAAAAGCCAAAAGAAAAAAAACCAAAAAGAAATCCGTGTGAAATCGGTTTTCGTTTTTGTGAAAAAGTATTGAATGTTTTTATTTAATGATGGATTGGACTCCGATATATGAAGGGTCAGAGCTTTATCAATTCGAACTCTCTAAAATTGGTGGAAAATATTCTTGTTAAATGTAGGATTTCACTTTCTTCTAAAATAGGGGTTGAGTTTTTTGTCAAAAGTTTACGACAAATGTTGCCCGAAGTTTATCTATATATTGTTAAGACGGTTCAAAATTTTCGGATTGTTCAAGTCAACTTATTACTGTTAGAAAAAAAAAATAAATGAAAATATATATGAAAAAAGTTAAAAACGGTGATCACGGTGGAAAAGCAAAGGCGTACAATTTATAGGCATAAGGTTCAAACATACATTTCTTCATACATTTATCTATTTGCACTTTTATTCCGGCCTCGGTATTCTTTCATTTACTCCCGATTCTTGAACATTGATGCAGTTAATTATACATTTGGTATTTTTATTAAAATTTAAGGAAACTCCCTTTAATTACTATTTCATCCCTATTATTCATTCAATTTTACTTTTATTTATTTGCTCATTTACTTCTTCACCTATCAATTTTGATGACGACAAAATTGAAACTCTGTTAATCATTATGAACAATCAATGCATCAACTTTAAAACATATAGTCCCAATACAAAATAACCGATATTTCGAGGGAAAAACTTAAACATATGCCATCACCTGTAACTGCAAACTTATATGACTGCAACGTTTAGTTAATTTCAGCAAGACAATCCCTTCAAGTGCTCTGTGCGCCCAACAGCGACTTCCACCACGTGTGGGTTTCCACGGCCTCTTTTCGTTGCCTTAAAGTTGAACTCAAATTTCTTTCCTTCTTCAAGAAGTGTATTCCACGACTGGTTTTCTAACACAAATACGGTATTCTGTTTGTTTTGCATCTGTATCTTCGCCTGCCATACTTCGAGTATCTTGATTGGTTGAGAAAATGTAACGATCATGTTCCAACCATTGCTTAACGTTGGCCCGGGGGTGATACTGAATTTGCCAATGAATCCTTCACTCCACTGGTGTTCTATATTGGCCCCTCCTTCGTCAAAACAAAGACCTTTCTGGACCAGAGTTAACATAAGAGACAACGTGAAGCCGATGCAAATTGCCTTCATGATTCTGTAAATGTAAAAAGTCAACTCGCCGTGTGAGATACGTATGTGGCAGGAACATGGAGGAATCAGGGGAAAGTGTGACATACCGCGCCTGTAAAAGCTAACCCCATACAAACCTATGCCGAAACAACCTTACTCTTCCTAGTTTTTAACATAGTTTCCTAAAGGAGCTTTGCGAAAAAAATTATTTCCAAGTCGTCTTTGGAATTTGAAAATGATATCGGAAATTATTTGAAAATTACCGAAACTGCCTGGAAATAAACACTTAAGTTGAAATGTTGCGTCTCTCAGTATATTGATCCTCCTGGTTTGCATCAAACTTTCTCTTACGTTCTAAAATACTTAGTTATCCTCAAATCATATTAAGTGGGACTTTTACATCTATCGAGCGATTTAATTATCACGATAACACGAAAACGCTTCTGAATAGAATTCTCTTTTTCTCGACTTCTTGGTCCTTGTCACTTGGTTTCGCATTGTAATTAGATGTGACGGTAGGTTTCAGTAAAAGTTCAAAAGTAGATTCCCCCTCACTTTGCATCGAACTTAGGTGAAAGGAATCATATCATCTCCCTCACGAGCTTGACATAAATAACTTGAACCAATCACGACCTGCACCGCTGAAACACTGTCTAAACTTAAGCCTCACCTTCTTCTTGCTCATTCAGATTTATTTCCTTTTTTTGTTACTTTATGGTCATGAACTATGAACTGATTTGTTTGGTTTGCGAAAACGAGAACGCTCACTTGCAGTCGATGGCTTTTGCGGCAAAGGTTAAAATTGTGGCCATCTCAGCGGCTAACGGTTTACATATCATTACATTGTTGTCACCAGACTGGAATTTTTTAACGTTTGATTTTTTTTTATGACTATCACTTGGTTAAAATTTTTATCAATTTTTACGGCTAACAGCTAAATTTTTTGGCCATTTTACGGCTTACGATTTACTCCTTTGAAACCCTCCTACAATAGACATCACTTGATACCCTAAATGCACGTGAGAAGCAATTGGAAATTCAAAAGTAAGTGAATGCATCTAACCGCTTTTGCAGGTACCTAGATATAGTTGTATAAACTATCAGTCTATAGAGTAAAAACGTTTGCTTCAGCATGAAATAAAGGATAAGAAGAAAAAGCCTTTTGTTTTCAAATCTATTTTAAGCGAGACCTAGTTCAAATGTGGTGCGTTTTGTTTGCCTTTCAAACCTTTAACTTTGAGAATCAAGTCTTCATTACTCTTCATATCGACATAATGTAAATTGAGTTATGGTGTCAATCTCTTGGGTGTGTTTACCTAGAAAAAATTTCTATTAATTTAAAAATACGTGGAGTTTGACCCCAAAAAATAATACGTTGAAATATCATCTGTATCGAATTTGTCCTAATCTTTTATGGCTGAAGTATTCGTGTAAATAATTTGATTTAAAATTTGTTTCCCTCGCCATCGGCGCAGGTCTCGGCTCGTACTGTACAAAATACGAAGAGCAGTAGAAGTCCACTCTCATAACTCTACATGAACACTCCTATATGTTAAATGCTTTGATTACTCATCTTTAACCTCACTTTTTACTTCGCAGACACATTTTAGAGATTGATGATATAACAAAGAAAAAGAAAATTATTACCAATGTTCTCAAAATTTATAAAACGAGCGCAGCTTTCTGCCAAAGAAGGAAATTCTTACAAGAAAAGTGGCTCTCCTCAGTTTAACTGCCTATTTAAGCAAACTAGTTCGTATTCTTGTTTTTTACCAATCCGTTTTGAACGCTTGTCCTATGTATCAATACCAAATTGAATCAAACTTACATGCTTGTTTTGAAAGGCGGCGTGTCGGTAGTTCTTTCCAAAGTCAACTGAGCTCGTTCATCTCCTTTTTGTGTTTTTAAGTTTTTTTTCTGTTAACCTATCAATAGACTTAAAAGGTTATTAAGTTTACATAAAGTCGATTTCAATCAAATGATGCACTGTTAAGACAAACAAAAGAGGTGTGATTATTGAGAACTCTTTACATGTTGCGTCAAATTGCCATGGCTGCATGTGAACGCACAAAAAAAATTATAAAAGATAAAAATCGCCCCACCACGATTCTCAGGAGTGAATATACCAAACATTCGATTTTTCATCGAACATGTTTAAATGCCTCTCCCCAGTAGCAACGAATAAAATAAACTAAGTTGATGTAAACCACTGTGCTACAGAATCATCTGAAATTTTCGAGTGAGGAGGGAAAGAGGTGAGGCCGAGAATGGAAATCATTGCGAACAAAGGTTTAGTTTACGCAATATTCAATTTGGAAATAAAATATTTCAACTCTAGTCCAGAACCATAATCATGTAATATCACAAAGATAGTGTTGATAAAACTGGGTCTTGGAGAGGTTTACAATCATGATTTAGATTTGCAGCTGTAAAAGGACTCCAGAAAATCCACTAATTTCTAAAGATACATGTACAAGTTACTGTGAATGACGGGTCAGGAAATAAATGAGTCCCCTTCTTGTTCCGGCAACATTTTAGCATGTTCTATTTCAAGAATTTTACAGCTTTAACTAAACGTAACTGAGCTGACACACTGAGAAAACAAAATTGAAATAAAAATTTAACTCAAGAAGGA